CAAAAAAAAAAAAAAAAAAAAAAAATTCTGGGCGGTTTTTTGTCCTGCCCGGTTTACCCGGGCCCAACCGGCCGGGCAGGCCCAGCCGGGCGGCGTCCTCACGGTTTTTCAAATTTTCACACTTTTGAACTTGTTAAGTTAGTTCCGAAGCTCTTGAAGAATACTCGCAAAACCTCTCCTTTTCACTGATCCGTCACTGCTCCTTCACTGACACTTCAGTGATCCACTGATACTTCATAGTAGTTCATACGTCACTTTGTACATAAGCGAATTCAACTCCAACCCCAGAAAGCATCCAGGTACACAGGGACCCTGTGAGGGCTGAGTGAAAAAAAGGCGAGATTTAAAGATTTTGCGATTAATCTTCAAAAAGAAGCTTCAAGGTATTTGTGATACTAACCTTAAGTGGTAATCTGGTACTTTTTGGGATTGCATCATTGCAAGTATTTCTGCATTTTTCTAACTCCTGATTGTTCCCACCAGCAAGTATCTCAGTAAGGATCAACAGAAGATTCTAGTTATTTAAGAATACCAAGGAAACAAAACTTGCAAACGATTTTAATCGACTCGCCTAGCTCAGTTGGTACACCTACGAACTGTTGAAAAGCAGGCCTGAGTTCGAATTCCAATGAGTTTGCATTCCAATGGAATTCGATGAGTGCCATTGAGTGGAAAATAACTCTGAATTTACCTGTGGCTGGTCAGCTCAAAGATGATATCTCAAGGTCGTTAATACGCATGCAAGCATGCATATACGCCATCCATATTTAAAACGAAATCGACAACAGCCTGGAGGAGAAGAGAAAAGAGAAAGAGAAAGAGAAAGAAGAAGAAGAAGAAGAAGAAGAAGGAGAAGAAGATGACCAGGTCGCAAGAAGAAGAACCACGCCAGAGACCGTAGACCACACCCGTCGCAAAATATGACGTTATCTTTCCCGAGCACAAACGAGGTTAACAGATATGTGTCACGCACAGAACCTCGATACTGCCGAAGCAGTAGGTTGACGAAGTGACTCTACGCATTTTGGTCGGTCGCCGACCCGACCTCATCAGGAGTCTTTGCTGGCTCAAGGCCATTCTTTTTCCAAAAAAAAAAAAAAAAAAAAAATCTAGGCTACCAGCCGGGCCGCCCGGGTAACCCTATTTTCCCGGGCAGCCTGGCCGTGCAAGGACTAGGGAAGGTCCCAGCCAAAAAAAATAAATAAAAAAAATTGAGCAGTTAACTGGAAAGGGTAAGAATCAGGCGTTACCTGTGTATGGCGTGTGCACAGAAGAAGAAATGGTGGAAATTTAAACAGACGACAACAGGAAACAGCATGGGAGCAAAAAAAATAGTGAGCAACAATCTACCAAAGAACAGTTCATGCTGCAACACAGTAAAGAACACCAATCAAAGAAAAAAAATCGGAAAAAAAAAGTATGTTATGCAGAAAAATAAACTGAACAACTTTTGCCTCAGCGTCACATCGAAATTCTTTACCAAAATTAAAATAAAAATTTAATAAAAAAAATATATTTTTTATTTTTATTGTTTTTTTGGGCCGGCCGGGCAAGGGGACCCCGGCCACTCTGGTAGCCTAGAAATAAAATGAAAAAGATAAAATAAAAATAAATATTCGGTAAGTCAGTTAAAGTCACCCAGGCTATCGCAAGTGGTGTGAGCAGAATGTACACAGACTGAGTAAATGATCTGATTCCTACTCCGATCAGTTGACTGCCAGAGTTATACTCTACAGCTGTCTGTCAGGTGTCAGCAGTCCGTAACATCACAACTAATCAGAAATAAAAATAAATAAATCACTTGCACAGATGAGTGCAGAATGGACACCATAGTAATAAATACTAATAATAATAATAATCGAGCACCAATTGGAACCTTCCCTCCCCTTTATCCGATGTCCTGATTGCATCAATAGAGCAGCGGTGTCTATGGTGTGCAAAAAGGCCCACCCCTGTGCCCAGGTAATGCAGAGCAGGCCAGCCTCGTCGGTGGTAATTTTTATCCTCGCGTACAATGCGAGTCGGTTGCCCCGCCGGAGTATCTTTAACGACGGTCCGGTGCACGTCAATCCCCCATAAGGCTGACCTTACCCACACCCCTCTATGCGCAGCAAGAATCAAAGGAATATGCAGCAAAGCATATGTGCTCTACTCCCTTGGGTTGGCATGGTGACCGTGACCTGTGCTTCGTCCAGGGCCCTTCAGAGGCACCGCCCTCCCCCACCAGATGCGCCACCAGGAAGAATGTCGACTCTCAAGGCAGAGCGCTCACGACTCCTGAACCAGAAGAGGACTCCCAGGCCGAACTCTCTTCCTCACGGTAAGAAGAGAATGAGATGGGAAGATAAGGTAAGGGAACAAAGTACCTGAAGATAGCTGCCCCCACCCACAGATTTCTCACCAATTGAGCCGACGTACATTTTGATCACCGGCCATAGCCTCGGTACCACACACAATACACCGCACTGCCACCTCAGCCAAAATATCACGTCAGCATGCTCTCATCATTCCACACACACCTGCTGTCGCCACAGCCTTCTGGTCATGCTCCCCTCTACCTGGGAGTGACCCAATCAGCCAGCGTCAAAGTATCCTTACCGCGGAGAAGCTTCTTCAGCACACCAAGTAACCAAGACACCAGTACCAGAAGGGCGATATCTGAACCGGCTCCAATGCCAAATTGAAAGGAAAATGAGCGGATAGGCAGAAAACCAAATTGCAATATCACACTGTAGACCAGATAGTCGTACAGAAAGCACAATGCACCGAGATACCAGCCAAATAAGAGCAATACAATGAAGTCAAATGTCAATGTCGACACTCTCTCACCGCACAGACAAAGTATCCAATGTCGCTCTTCTTGATTGGCCCACAACGCCCAGCCTACTCTACTCGGTCCATAGACTCTATACTAGCCTACTCTACTTATATGCAACAGGATGAAGACCAATGTACATGACGACAAACACAGACTGCCAGCATACGCCAGGTGTGTGCCTCTCTTCCCCTTGTCACCCCCTGTCTCCCTACTGCATGCGCCTCCTCACCCGAAGACCACCATGGTCAAACCAGCATGCGCCCCAGCAGCCCGGCTATGGCCGCTGTGCAGCCGCTGCCACCACAGTGCCCCTCTCACCTCCCAGTGCCCGCGCGCGCCTGGCTTGCCAGCGCTACACTGCAGCAGTGTGGCTGCCCACACAAGCAAAGCCAGAATGTCCTCTGGCCTGGGCGATCACTTTCCTTTATGGAAAGTGAGCTCTGCATCTGCCTGGGCTGGGCCTGGTAAGCGGGGGCCTAGTAGCTTCACGCTGGGCCAGATCATTTTAACAAGGACCTTCCCTGGCCCTTGTGCGCTCCGGCCGCTCGGGCAACCAAGGCGACCAGGGAGGCCTGCTTGGTAATGCAGCTATGTAGTATGTACCAATTTGTTTTGTATCTGTGTCACATTCTGATTCTAGCTTTTGTTGCTCGTCGATACAACAGATGCTGACGTCGTCACAGCAAGCTTGTTTTGTACCAACTATTTAAATTTTATTTTTTGTTACGTTGTTTCTTCTCCTCGGCCATACCAAATATTGTTTGTTTATTCAACTTTATTGTTTTTCATGCCCACTAAAATACACAGAATATTGTTTGTTAACAATGTTAAGTTTGTTTATTCTACTTTATTGTCTGTCATGCCGAGGACAAACTATCTTCGTTTATGTGTCATTAATTATTGTTTGCGATATGTTATTTGTCGTGTGCCGTACATTATCGTTATGCCGTACCAGTAGGTTGAACTCTCAGGTAAACGGTTCATTATACTCGATAGTAGTCGATACCTATGGCTCTTGATCGGTACGTCAAGAGTTCAAAACTCAAACTCTGGTCAAGACGGTGACTTCAAGGATCATTAACCTCATTTGAATCAACAAACTTTAACAGATAATAAATAACAAATGAAAAGTATATGCCCTTGCGGGACATTGCCAACTTATCGCTGTTTTTTTTTTTTTTTTTTTTTTTTTTTTTGGGTTTTGGGGGGGGGGGGGGGGGGGGCGCGGGATGGGGAGCTGTTATTTGTTTCCCTCTCGGGCACCTTTGTATGTGTGTGTATTATGTATGCAAATGGGGTTGAATGCAGATTTACCGGAAGACAGGAAGGGAGTTGAAAAGGATAGAAGCCGTCACAAAGAGCCCCTTGTACCAGCAGTTCTCAGAGACTCTCAATGGTCTGACTACCATTCGCGCATACCAGGCAGAGAACCGATTCATAAAGCTAAATGATGGTGCGCTGTTTTTGTCCATTCATTCACCTTTGTTTTCTTTTCGGTGATAGTAATGGGACGCGACTTAGTTTAAAACATACGTCAAATTCGTCAATTACATTTCGTTGAAAACATACGTCAAATTCGTCAATTACATTTCGTTAGTTTAGAGTCTTTAGACAGAGTGATGTCCATCTTTGCCAAAGAACAGCAATTTGAATTGTGACAAATTGTTTCAGTAGTATCTGCACATTGGTGTATGTCTGAGGTCATCCAATGATGGAACTGGGAAATGTTTGATCCACACCTAGTGACCCTTCATATTAGGCATTTCCTAGCCTATTCAGGTATGTAGAGGTTTGCTTTGCTGTGGTCGCACGAGGTTTACAGTTGCAGCAGGACCTAGGACTACATCATCTCATTGAAAGCGAGTGTTTGCCCAGGGCAATGACTTGTCAGGGGGGCTTAGGGATTAGGAGAGTTAATGGTTGAGTGCTGAGGGTTGAGGGTTAGGGATTCAGGATTGAGGGTTAACAGTCTAGGGGGTTGGGGCTTACAATAGGGCTTAGGGTCTAGGATTGAGGATTGAGGGTTCAGGGTTGAAGATTGAGGGTTAACGGTCTCGGGGGTAGGGACTTACGATTTGGAATGAGGATGTAGGGCCTAGGGTTTAGGACTGAGGGTTGCAGGTTGAGGGTTGACGGTGAAGGATTTCGAGGATTGAAAGTGGAGGGTTTAGGGTTTAGGGTGAGGATCGAGGATTAATGGGGTCCAGGGCCTAGGGCTTAGGGTTTGATGGTTGAGGGTTGCGGGCTGAGGGTTGAGGGTTGAGGGTTGAGGGGTTTGAGGGGGTTGAGGGGGTTGAGGGTTGAGGGTTGAGGGTTGAGGGTGAGGGTTGAGTGTTGAAGGTGAGGGTTAAGGGTTGAGGGTTGAGGCAACTGAGGGTTAATGTTTTACAGCTTAGGGTTGAGGACTCAGGGCTTAGGGTTGAGTTTTTAGGGTTGAGTGTTTTTGGTTCAGGGCTTAGGATTGAGTGCATAGGGTTGAGGGTTTCATGTTTTGGGTTGAAGGGTTGAGGGTTGAGGGTTGAAGTTCTAGAGCTTATGGTGTACGAACTGTCCCATGGACTGTATCGACCTAGGCACAACAACCCACCATTCCTGGGTCTCTCTCTCCTAGTGAGCCCTTTGCGTGACCCCCAAAAGACTGTTAATTGTGTGAGCCAGTATGCTCAGCGAAGCTGTATTCAGGGGGGGAAGACATGTCAGTGAGTGACAGATTGAGCTATCATCAGCAGAAGTGGTGAAATGGTAACATTGGCTTTCATCATGTGGCATCAAGGTCGTGCCTGCATGCCTTACATTGCAGTATGATCGATCTAATGCTTTAGACCATGCTATATTTTCTCTTCCCTTGTAGGACTGTGAGGACTCCAATGCCCTATGCACAAAAACATGGTTTCCGTGGTTCATACTCTCGTAAGGAACCAAATAGGATGGTGTGTTGGAAGACTGCTTGTACAGAGTTGGAGATGCAACATTGTCATTCTGCTTTCCTCTTATCTTCTCTTCTTATACCCCCATCTTGTATTCTTCTCTCTCTCTCTCTCTCTCTCTCTCTCTCTCTCTCTCTCTCTCTCTCTCTCTCTCTCTCT